TTCGACTGATTGGAACAGGTAATGCGTTTTGATTTCGAGTAATCAGAGAAATTTATGGATGGTTTCAAGGTTTCTTTTACTTGATAATTTCTCTGCTACAAAAATGGCTCAAGTGACTGAACAACTACGACACGAAGATGAACAAAAACTGAAAAAGGCCTAAGAACAACCATAGAAATAAGCATAAAAATAATCCTGTTCCTAACAAAAACACTACCCCTCTTATTTATCATCTATATTTACATCCTAATCCATAGTTATGAGAGCGTTCTTCAACTAAGCATTGTTCTTCATCAAAAGTTCCATCACTACTCGCTTCAAGCTGCCATTGTTCTTCATCAGAAGTTTTCTGTTCATTTCCTTATCCTTGAATCCCTGTAAACAGCAGCACATCCATACCATCATAAACCAACACCCAAGAAATCAAGGATTAGCAACTTCATTAAAACGACTCACGACCAACCATTTTATCCAACTCCTGAATCATCGGATACCATTCAGGAAGCCCACACAGTTCATCCACTGACTTCTCTAGATTGTACCCATTCCTCTTCAGTACCTCCTTGTTCAGATAGGTATGTTTGAATCCCATTTCACAGAGTGCCTGAAGTAGAGGTCCTTGGATATAATGATTAGAACTGATATCTTCAGATAATGCTGGAGAATGAGAAGGCATGGGGGATGGTCTTGGAGATCGGTTTGCAGCAGGGGGAATTAGTTCAGAAGAATCAATATGAGGGTATGACACAGAGGGGGCCTTGGCTGTTGAACTATCTCGAACTCCATGGTAATCAACAGTTGGATAAGAGACCAAATTAGCAGGAATCTTGCTAGCTAGCAACTTGTCCATCACGTCCTGTTGGTCCTGTTGTTGCTCGATCGCATTTTCAGGCAGATTATGACAAGGTTTTACTGGTTTGGCAATGGGGGTGGAATCACGAGGAGGGAATAACTTATCCAAATTATTGTTTAGATCTTGGGGATTAGCAGGGCTCTTGCGAACTAGCAACTCGTCGATCAGGTCATGTTGTTGCGCGATCGCAGTTTTAGGACAAGGTTTTACTGGTTTGGCAATGGGGATGGGATCACGAGGGAAAAGCTTATCAGAAAGTAGAGTTTCCAAATCCTTGTTTAGATCTTCTTGGCCATTTGGGTCTACAACGTTAGGGGGAAAATTTAGGTCCAAAGCTTGGAGATTATCAGAATGTGGCCTCTTAAGAGCTGCATCAACCTTCATGTTTGTGAAAGAACAACATAAGTTTGGTCTATTTAAGTGTGTATATACAGAACTAGAAAAACTGATATGCATACAAGCATACCTGTATGAGAAGCCAAACACGATACCCGAACTCCTGGCCAGATGGAGATACTACCTTCCAGTATGTGAGGTACCGACCAGATAATGGAGGGGAAGTAAAGTCAACTTCAATATCAACTTGATGTCCCGGAGGAAGTCCTCCCGCAGGTACCTAACATGAATGAGGATGTGAGAAAAAGCTTAGAAAATGAAGAGAAAAAGAATAAACAGTCACCGTTTCTACCTGTATCTCAAATGATGTTGAATCACTAAACTTGTCTCCTCCATCCCACACTAGCTGTGTACCACGGGGCCAATTCCAACTCCCGAGGTTATGCAACTGCCATTTCTTGGTAAACGGCGTAGATGGGGCGATCACAGAATTATCCATGACGTTAGTATCAGCAAAAAGTTTGGTCTGCTTTCCAGAACTTTTCAGTGTATCGATTGTTCGGGAGCCAGGAAATGGATGCTGCTGCACTGGATTGAATGCTTTCAATCTTGGATACTGACAAGAGACGGGTCGATCGATCCTAACGTATTCAGCTACATTGCTCACTTTAGCAAAGCAGATACTACATAGATCATAATTATCTTTCCTGTAGAGAAATCCCAAGTGCAAACAAGTTGGTAAATAAGAACACAAGACAACAATGGGGCAAAAAGTAGGTGAGTTTGTGTTGTATCCTTACACTTGGGACTTGAACCGTGGACCGGTGATCGGACGAGCCCCACAGCCATCACAAATAACACCTTTATGGAACATACTTCCCATTGATTCAATGCTGCTACCACTGCTGTAATTCATTGGACCTCCAGGGAAGACTTTTCCCATAGTTTGGAAGTAACCACTGTCGCTAATTGGTCCAGAAACCAGGGGTAATCCTCTCATAGGCCTCTCCTTCATACGATTATCATTTAGATAAGCTGCTGGTGAATGATATGGGTAATTGTGCATCGACATAGGACCGTGCATATGCATTCTACGAAGGGGATCATGAAATGCATCAAAGGAACAGCTGCTGCAATGGGCAGTTGTATCTGATTTCCAAATAGGATCACGAGGAAGGGCATTATGATCAACTGAAACAGTTGCATCTAAACCAGGAGGAGCATCAGAACTCTCAGTGGCCACAACTGTCTCAGGAACAGATGAGGGCTGCGAATCTGAGTTCAGGTGCGCGTCTTTCAACTGAAGAATGGTTTGAGCAAGCTCATCAAGTGCAGGGCCAGTAACCATGGCTTTTGAAGCGATGTCGAGCAACTGTGAACAAATCTCCGGTAGGGGCTCTGGCAGAGATTTCAAAACCTCAGAAATACCAGTACGAATATCTTGAAAAGAACGCAATGGCGTGGTTGAGCTTCCATCGGATCTATCATGGGATTGGTTAAGATGCACATCAATTCTCAGAAACCTCAGCTGTTGCCTCATCATGTCATGTAGATCATGATCATTGAACAAGGTCACTGTATCACCATCTTCATCAATGTAAGTCAGTGTAAAATCAGTATCAGAGGAGAATTTGAAGAGACTAGGTACTTTTGCTCTTAATCCATTGATGTCAAGATCCAGCTTATTGTTTTCAAGGATTCTAACACTGAGACGCCGTAGCATCACTCCATATTTAACCTGTGTGAGAAAAATGTCAGGGGAAGAAGTTTAAAAAATAGGTACAGTAACTTCTTAGCAGGGAAAAGAAATAGAAAGGTCGAGTTCCAATAGATAACTCTTACTCTTCTATAGAGTTCATTAATATCCAAGCTCATGAGTTTACCTTCATCTATCTGAATGATCGGTCTCAACTCGAGAGGAAGAACATGTAACAGACATAAAACCATCCATTCGGGTTCTATATTTGTTCAAATAAAATGCTTAGCTAATTCCATACGTCTAACCAAAAAATCTCATTCATTGCCTAGTTCTTTCCATATTCTCGAAACTTGGATTTGGGCTTTTTTTTTTTTTTTTCAGCACTAGATACAAAAATGAAAATAATTGGTAAAATTGGATTCAATTGTAAATTACTCCTATCGTAAATAGGCGGACTACAGAACATAGTTTTATATGAAGGATCATCAATTCATAGTACACCAATTGAGTAATCAAACTTAGCTTAGTTTTCTCATAAATCAAAGAATTAAAAAGGTAAAAGTAATAACATAATCCAACTAATGAACCGATTGTGAACAATTTTCCAGCACACAGGAAGCAGAAACTCATAGTGATCACGAACAAACAAAAAAAGCCAGTGAAAAATCGTTCGCCCTTAATAATAAACATGAAGGCAAAACACAACGAAAAATGAAACTATACAAAGACGATAATTCCAACCTTAATCACAAGAACAGGCTCCATGGCTTCAGAGGAGAACGATAGTCGAGAAGAAGATGAGAGCTGAAGGAGAAACAACGACGAATATAAATACAAAGAATACTGAAACCGACTACGCGATTAAGTAGGGAGAAAAGAAATCGAAAGATTTGGTTCTGATTTTATAAACAGGTAGTTAGAGAAATCACTCAAAAAAAATAATAAATAATTTATAAACAGATATTCGGAGAAACTCACTCAAAAAAGACTCTTTATTTTATGAACAGTTTCGATTGGGGGAGATGACTCAAACCTAGCCATACGCCGGAATGATCGATTAACAACTCAAATCTATCATATGCCGGAATCATCGTACGCCGGAATGATTGATTAATACTGGAATCATCGATCATTCCGCCGGAATCATCATACAGCTCTCAAAATAATCTATCATATGCCGGAATCATCGTACGCCGGAATGATTGATTAATACTGGAATCATCGATCATTCCGCCGGAATCATCATACAGCTCAAAATAATCTATCATATGCCGGAATCATCGTACGCCGGAATGATTGATTAATACCGGAATCATCTTATAGCTCTCAAAATTAAATTCTCTTTCATAAATACGAATGAATTCGTTAGTTAATCATTTAGGAGCATATATTAACCTATATTCTTTTTACAGCGGCGATTAACTTTTTTGTTTTTTTTTTTTTTTTTTTAATTTTGAATAGTACTCTCAAATTTAGAAAAAAAAAAAAAAAA